CTTCAGCTCTCACTGGAGTGGTTCACAGCTGAGTGTGAAGCGGCTGGGATGAGAATCAGTACCTCCAAATCTGAGGCCATGGTCCTGAAATGGAAAAAGGGTGGATTGCTCTCTTTGGGTCAAAGGTGAGGTTCTGCCTCAAGTGGAGGAGTTCAAGTATCTCGGGGTTTTGTTCATGAGTGAGGGAAGAATAGAGTGTTAGATTGACAGACGGATTGGTGCAGTGTCTTCAGTATTGAGGACTCTGTACTGGTCCGTTGTGAAGAGGGAGCTGAGCTGTAAGGCAAAACTCTCTGTTTACCATTCAGTCTACATTCCTACCCTCACCTATGGTCATGAGCTCTGGGTAGTGGCCAAAAGAATGAGATCATGGATACAGGCAGTTGAAATGATTTTCCTCTGCAGGGTAGCTGGACTCTCCCTTAGAGATAGGGTGAGAAGTTCAGTTATCTGGGAGAGACTCAGAGTAGAACCACTGCTCCTCCACATCGAAAGGAGCCAGTTGAGGTGGTTTGGGCATCTTGTAAGGATACCCCCTGGGCGCCTCCCTAGGGAGGTGCTTCAGGCATGTCCAACTGGGAGAAGACCCTGGGGAAGACCCAGGACACACTGGAGAGACTACGTCTCTCGGTTGGACTGGGAACACCTTGGAATCCTCCCAGAAGAGCTGGAAGTGGTGGTTGTGGAAAGAGATGTCTGGACCTCCATGCTCAAGCTGCTGCCCCCGCGACCCGACTTTGGAACAAGTGGAAGATGATGGATGGATGGATGGATGGATGGATGGATGGATGGATGGTTTTCACAGCAGCTACTTGTCCTGCATGCACCAACAGTAAAAAATCATTTTCTGTTTTTCTAGTCTTTATCAACATTTTTTTTAAAACTTCAAAAACTTATCAACAGCTGGATGTGGCACTACTTAAGGAATTCACTTTTATGCATTTTATGCTGTTATAGTTTTAAATCACAGGTTGCTCACTCTGTGTGTCATCAGTGTCCTCATAGACAGGAAATAATTGTTCCTAATTTGTGCTGCAGCCGTCTGGAACATTCGCAGGAGACGATGAAATTGAAGGTCTTACTGGTGCTGCAGAGAAAAACCACTGGGGTTAGATTTTGCTCCTAAACGGCCCGTGCATGTGTCTGAGGTGTGACACTGCATGGTTTTCTGTCTCTGAGATGAAATGGACACTTGCGCTTGTGATTTTGATAATGAACCCTTACGTGTGCACCTCAATCAACCTCCCATGCAAAAAACTGTGCCAAAAACCGACCAGGAGACGAAGAACATGGACAGCTGTTCTGAACTGAAACTTTTCAGGGTGGTAGACTGAAGAGAGAAACTGGAGATCAACGGATGTGCATGAGTGGGAAGCTTCAGTGCAGCTGACACAAACTGTGGTACAAATAGAAACGTGCTCATCAGCTAAGTGCCAATCGGCTCACGCCCACAGAGGCGACAACCACAAATTGGCCTTTCATTGTTGACTGAAGAGCTGTGACTCACACACGTCAGCTCAGGAGGACAGCTACTCCTTCTCACCGAAAACAATCCCCTCCGTTTAGATTCACAGCATTCTGCCTCATCTTTTATCATAAAACAGTGACTAACATTCGTTTGGGTTTTGGCAGCTATCAGACATTTTAAGCTGATTTGTGTTATAAGCATTTTGTGATGGTTTTAATTAGAAAACAAACAGGCTCTGTATCTAAAGTCAAACTCCGATGAATCTGAATGCACCCATCAGTTGGTTACCTGGACATGACACTGCGCTGGTTAATGAATGCAAAAAGCAGCAGACATAGTGGGGATGTATAAAGATGTAAATAATGAATTATTCATAACTAATGCCCTTTTTTATTTCTCAGAAACTAGATTCTGCTCACCACCAAGGGCAAGAGGAGATAATGTTTTTGCCAGTGTGTGTGTTTGTGCATGTGTTTTAAAAGTAAATTCATGAACCACTGGACAGATTTTATTGAAATTCTCAGAAAGTAATCACTGAATGTGCATCTACAACTGAACAACTTTAGGAATCAGCACAATTCAAGATGGCCTCCACAGATAAGTAATATCCGTGCAAAAATAGCTGTAACTTAATGTTTCATATATTTAAGTAGAATTTGGTGTGGTAATGGCTCAACGTTATCCACCAACACATACAGTATGAGCAATATACAGCGCAGAATGTTTCTTCTAAAAACTTCAGCGTTATTTGTTGGTCATCTATGTCTGTCTGTTAGCAAAACATCTGGAGGGATTTTGATGAAACTCTCTGAGAGAAGTCATTATCATAACCTTTGGAGTCAGTTCTGTTAAAGATGACCAAAGCAATATTAGCCAACACAAAAATGGCAATAACAAGTCAATTTTATAGATTTCGATGGAAAAAACATTGGTAATAGTTCAGAGTCATTTTCACGTTGTCTGACTTCGGTCACATCAAGATATCGCATTATTGCTTGAAACTGTGCATTAACATTTGCAAGGTCTGACCAAAACAGTTT